CCGTAATTGGTTTGTATACACTGACTTCTTCATAGTCCAGTGACTCCTCCATGATGTCTTCACATCAAAAAAATCCATCTTACACTTTCATTTCATTTCAAGTGTGAATTTTATCGTCGGTGGGCGATTACTAACTGCATTTCATATATTATTTAAACCATGAAAATCATCACGAATACTGGAAGCATCATCTCTGTGCCATTCAGTAGGCTTCCTTCACGCATGAATCAGTCACAGAAGTGAAGAGGCTAGTTCGAAAGTCTGGCGTTTAAAACCTGACTGGTCTATCTAGAAAGGGAGTAGTAAAAGCCTCATTTCAAAATTATGGAGTGCTACGCCACCGTGACCCGGGAGATTTAAATGGCACAAAAACCTATTTCGGTCACCAGAAGACATAGAAAATCCGTTTCTAAAGCTGATAGAGCCATAGGGCCGAAGTACGACCTATTAAGACAACTACCTACATCAGCCTTGTCGTCCGCCTAAGCTTCTGACTATCGCAAAAACGATGAACCAAGTTCGTCTCTTATTAATCATCATTTTATACACCCTTGCCTAGAAAAGTCATTGGCTACCAATACATTCAATGAATATATTACAAACATACACAGAAAACTGATTGATCCATAGACAGTATACCCAGAATTACTCAAAATATATGCAGAGAATCAAGTGTCCAATTTTCCTAATTATTTTCCACTGAGAAATGATTTTTTTGATGCCTTCGGTTGAAAATAACTGATCAAAATGCAGTGGAATTCACGATATAAAAGCATCTGATGAAATCAATTAGTGCAGAGAAAAAACACATTGAGGGCACGTTCGTAGACATATTCACGAAGCAACCTGCACGATCCTCCTTATGCTTAGAGCTCGTACTTCACTTGGAGAACATCACTGATGCACCAGATAAAATATTTTGGCTAACATGAAGCCGGATAAGTGATAGTAGGGGAGAGCGAATACATAATGGCTGCTTCAACCGCAAAGAAGAAGCAGGCTAATAATTATCACTCGAATACTCAGCATTCTATTATTGCACATGAATATCTGTAACAGACGCAAAATATTAACATGAAATTATTACACTGTTCAACTGCTGGATGAACTCTGTGCCAGTTATATACAGTGTTTACTTATCAAGTGAAATTATTCTACAATAGGATCATGTTCAATGAAACATAGAAGCATTACCATAAATTGTGTTGACTATTGTCTGTGCAGAAACTGATATATACATTATGAAATAATCACTACTACTGAAATAGTCTTCAGATTACTGAATAGATGTAGATGGAGAAAGGAAAATTTATTTCATCAGTGCAATATTTTCCGTTTTCATGTGAATGTGATCTCATACAATTAAATGAAACAGAATTTCAACTAAATACTCAGAATAAGTACATACAGAGAGAAACCTAAGAAAATCACAGTAACGACATATGTGTCTGTCTCAAGAATATATGTATGAAGAATATCTCGCGGTATTCTGCAGAAATACTTCATTTACTAATTGCTCAGGATTATTTTCCTCAGTATTACCATGCCTAGTTTCCCACCCCCTATTACGGGATGGGTAAAACAGTAATCCTACGCTGATGACGATGAAATTCACAAAAGCCCACAGTTAGCCACATCAATGTGGAATCACAAGCACCTCACAGGAAACAAAATAGGCAACATATTCCTTCATAAGTGTATATCTTATTTCCACAAATAGACAAACAGTATACAGTGTTCCACAGTGAGCTTGATGTACACTATGAAAAGAATACTAAGAGGAGTGAGAACATTTTGAAGAACACAGCAATTCCTACACCGAAATACCTCATATCCATCAACATATTTGAGATCAAGACAGGAAAGATCATCTATCCGCTACCTACAGACTGCCAACAATTAGTATATTCAGCTATTATATGATAAACAGAATAACTTCGCTAATTTTCAGAATAAAACAACTCTGCATTCAGTGAGAAGCACAATAGTTCCAGATATAGAATGTGATGACCATACATATTAAAAATCCCTGCTAACACGAAACATATGCTATGTAATTATCTGGAAATGTTATCGTTAGACTAGAGATGTGTGAAGAGTTCGCTCATTCTTCTTCCTAAACTTCCAGAGTATGCAAAAGTGAATCGAGGAATGAGTTGTTTTGAGCCACCTGAGCAGTTTAAAGCAGACTTAAACAAGGTGATTACTGTTTGATATAGAATTCATAATTGCGTGCGTCCATAGAGAAACCAGCTTTTGAAGCCTCACAAGTTTCATAAATAATAGGAAATCCATGAAGTGGAAATAACACCACACAATGACTTAGCAGGGCTACAATCAGTCTAATACTAAATACTATTGTGATGATTGAAAGATTTCTAAATTATACATATATATTCACGTATGGCGCATTGTGCAAGCTTAGTATCCGGTGTCTGACACTTCTCAACATGCTAAACGACAACATGGTCGATAAATCTTTCTAGTAGCTGGACAACAATTCTTTTAGACTAAAAGACATGCAATACCTGAGTGCATTTCAAAGTCTGGTTTGGAAGACTAAAGTGATGATGGTGATGTTGTTTCTGAACGTTATTAAACATTCCTTATTTGGCCTTATCAACGAACTCTTGTATCAAAACAATTGGAAGCAACTGATAAATGGCGTGTGTAAAGTGAGAGTGCAGCAGGTGATTATGAACGTGCAATTCGTAAACCTCTTTTGATTGGGTGAAGCGAGGAAGCTTGGTCAACCACACAGTATGCTATTCACTATTGAATAAGTGACAGGATTTACTAGTTAGTGATAAATCAGATGGATATCACTCGCATCAACTGAGTGTACTTGCTAGCTAGATCGAAGTGATCCAGATGCTGGACTACAGTTTCGTACATTTCGTGGTCGAGCTCGCTAAAGATGTACCAGATCTTCCTTTAGGTCAAAATGGCCAAACAATTCAAAACATCCAACTTCCAGCTAGTCACGTGAAGGAACTCATTTTACTTAAAATATTCAGGTCAAAGAAAAGGAGATCTTTTATTAAACAGTGTTCAGCCAAGAGTGGGACAGAGAAAACAGCCATCGCAATCACCATTTAATTATAGGAAGACAGACGTAATAGATTGCTGATAAGTTAAGTGAGACAGAGTGAAATGAACATCTGAGATAATGGTCAAGGAGTCACGACATAATAAGCAAAATATGAACTCATATTACCTACCAGTTCTAAGAAATATAAAATTAAAGGCAAATGATCCGTTCACATAAAGTAGGCAAGAAAGATAGTGGAAATATGAACTGAATAATTTCATCTTCCAAATGAAATTTAATTTCATGTCATTCTCAAAAGCTTGTAATTGCCACGGAAAATAGAGGTAGCTCACTTCCGCAGGGCAGAATAAGTTGGTTTACGTTATACTTCAAGAGTGAGAATTCTATTATTTGCGAACTGGTTATATATAAAGACATGACTTGACGAAGAAAGCCATTGGAAAGAAGTGCGTACTGGACAGCTGTTTTCAAATTAATAGTGATTCATCAGCAGCTACTGGGATGCAGTCTGATGGCATCCAGTGTTATTTGATTTCGTCTAGTAACCTGACGAACTTCGGTTCGATCCCTCATGTGATCGTGGATGGAAAAAAAGGACGAAACAGCTGTCCAAAACTCCCTGCTTCTCGAAAGTTTTCTAATTAGACTGAATTCATGATAACAATTGAGATCAGTCAAATTTCAGTAAGCCAACATTCTCGAGCCAGTTAAATTTTTCGTGTTTTCCATCGTAAGTTCCATGTTCGAATCTTATGAGCTTCTACATGTGTTGTATTACTTTGATTGAAGAAAGAACGGATACATTTGCAAGATAATATGAGTTCGTTTAATTGTGTGGATTCTCTTCAACAGCCTAAATTCCAATTTATTCAATTATAATATATTACAAAATTCTTGAACATACTATTTACAATGATTTCAAGTTATAGATAGAAAGTATAAGCAACATAATTTCAAAGATGATGTAAGTAGACAAATATTTACTGTCAAAAGTGTAAATATTTATGTATTAATTATTAATACTATGTTTATTACTAAATAATTGTCTACTTACATCATCTTTGAAATTATGTTGCTTATGCTTTCTATCAAAAACTTGAAATCATTGTGAAAAGTATGTTCTGGAATTTTTTAGTATATTTTAATTGACTAAATTATGATGTCGGTAGTTGAAGAAAATCTACACAATAAAACGACCTCTTATTATCCTACAAACATGTTCGCTTTTTTGATGCTCAAACTAATAAGGAGAACCGGCTTTGCGATTTTATAACTTGGTTATCATAATCTCGTTCCAATTGGACTATAAGCTGATAAGTATATTAAATGAGTTCACTATTTGAAAATATATGCTGGAAAGATGGACATCTATGTAGCCACATTCTCATCACATTCACTAGTAATAATATTAATCACACTTGACGCATTAGCCTTAACATGCTTTAAATAGCCACTTGACGCTAAATGACATTCCATGAGATAGGTGAATGGAATTTAAGCCCTGAACTGTTCACTTTTATAAGAGAAGAAACTAAGATGAATTTACCGCCATACAATAAACCTATTGTTCAAATGACGCGGTGGGTGAGACATCTATAGAAACTTGACCATAAGTGATCATATGAAACCTCTGATTCCGTGCACACCTAAGATCACAGTATTCGACTATGTTTTTTGACCAATGTGCAAAACCGTTTTCTGTCACCAACGTGTATAACAATGATTTTCGCGAATGACTTAAAGTCGAAATCATTACCACTGTTTCTCGCTTCACTTGGTGATGAAATGTTACTCCTCATAGTAGAAGAGCTGTTTAAATATCGATTTAAGTTAGGGAATACGACTTCTGGCGCCTCCCACTGATGAACGGTATGCAAGAAACAATTAGGAATACATTTGAATTTTTGGTAAAAATGGCTTTTATAAATACTTTATTATTGAATTATAATTTGATTTGTAATTAACAAACTTTTGTACTAAACTTAATACTCTAATCAAACTGGACGGAAAAAGATTTACTGTTTAAAGAAGTTTATTCACTCTGGTCTATTAATAGTCATCAACGTGTTTTCATCTTCATTTTCCCTTGGAAATCTTCTTCGTACGTCTATTTGTCGGTGGCTGTTTATTGGAGGATTCTAATTTGGTAGATGGACCACTGTTGTAATTTGTTTGCTTTTTACCATCATCAGGTTTGCTAACCACGATGGTAGGTCTGTTCTTTGTACTTGTTGGTATCCTGTTGTTGCTTGGTGGTCCGCTATTAACACTAGGTCGCTTAACATTGGTGTTCGGATTTTGAGGTTTTTTTGAAGGCCGCTGTTTGGTACTTTGTGGTTTGTCTTTTGATTGATCAGTGGTAACACCACTAGGATCCTTTACATCTCCTTGACAAGTAACACGCTTAGCTTCATATGGCTTCTCACGTCCAACGTTTCCACTTTAAATAAAGAAAATAGTAAAAAGAGACGTTACACGCTGAAAAATTATACGTGTTTGGACTGTATATGCAGAAAACGAAAATCTGATATGCAATTTCAACTCACCTCATTGCGTAATTGCATACAACATATAATCCATGTGTGAATGTCTTACTCCCCGAGCAGTTGTTTACTGCACACCCTATATACGCGGTATGGTTGGAAACAATCTAAATGACAAACAAAAGTGAACAGTTATCAGTTGAAGTAATTTTCAGAACAGGTTACAGCAAAATAAGATGACTCAATATGCGATGCAAAATATGGAATGTTATGGCATAGATATCATTAATACCATTTTTGTGATAAATACATGAATTACGTTTGCTCCTACTTCATCGCCATGAGTACATGTATCTCATCAGACGATAAATTGTTACATCTTCAACAAAATGAATCCCTACTTTACCCTTTTCTTAAAGGGAATACATCAGAATACAGAATTATCTAATGAAATGTAGGAAGCAGCAAGCTGAAATAAGTGTGAACAGTGATAATTCCTGTAAAATTAATGCATAAGAGCAAAAGAGTTTGATGATATCGAGACTGATTATTATTTCAGCACTGCTCGGTAAAAATATGCCAAACATAATCAATGCATGCAAAATGCTAACTGCATCAACAATCAGCCAGCATCCGTTTTACTTCATTGCACATTACATAGTGAATTAGCTGCATCTAGTGAAGTCTCTTTAACAGAATAATAATTAGACATTTGTGATAGTTTTTGAATATTAGGAATAATTCAGTAAAATTCTCAAAACATTTCACGACAAAGAAGTCTATCCACATTGTATCAATGAATTTTGCCAACTTGATCATGTATGAATGATAAACGTTGAGGTTGTAGTAAAAATGGCACTGAAGCAACTTCTGAAAACTATGTCTGATGACTTAGTTTGATGAAATATTTTTGCAATGACCTACTTCGATAGAAACTGTGATCGTAAATATTTACTTCACCGAAATAAAATTTCTGCAGAAGTTGGATTTCCTTTGGCAGTAAACAGATTCTATTACCTATACATAGGCTGCATACTTTATTCAAATGATACCTTCGCTAGGTTCTCACTGAAGATCAGATAACCAGAAAGGATTGACAGACAAAAAAGAGTCTATGTTCCACCTGGAACCAGAGGGATTAATGATGATAATTTGCACACATGTGATAAATTTACGTATATTCGCATCGCGCTTAAAATATGCTGATCGCTTAAAATCTGTTTCTGGATTGAATTTGCTTCCCAACCACAATCATTCATAAATGTAATAATATGTAGGACATCTTTTGAAAGTTAACCAAAATTGGTGTGTTCTGTTAGGTAACAGAGATATTTCCAACTACAATTAACTAATATGTTAACATATCAACCACTAGACATGCATATATGAATAAATTGGTTAAAACATTAAAATTCAAGTAATTAGGTCTAAAATTATTGTACCTGAGTATAATGTCCACAAACTTTCCCTGGTGTGCAACTTTGATTCCAATAATTGTAATTCTTGTGTTCATCTGTCCACGCTGTCATAGCTCTAAAAGTTTAGGCATAATAAACAATTGTCAATTTAATTTATTTACCGAGCTACAGACGACGATCTCGCAATGTTTTGTCTAATGTAATTGAAGGTGTTCTTTGGAAGAGTTCTATAATCAGGCTCGAATACGCATCGTTTAGCTAGTTGCTTGGCATAACCTGCGATTTCATCGTTCCATTTCTGAAATAAAAGCAATGATTTACAGGAAGATAAAGCTTTTCTAAATATTTATTGTTTGACTTTACAACTCCAAGTCACATATGAAAAGAAGAAAAAATTCACATCCAAAATGTATACTGTTACATAAACCATCATTAGGCATAAATAATAATGCAAATCTGATGCAGATTGAGAAAGAAATCAACTGCAACTCTAACTTTAACTCAAAATGAGAAATAGAAAACTTACCAATTTAGGGAGTGGAGTTACACTAGGTGGTTGTCCACGTATTTTGCAGTTGCTCAGAGATTGTCTAAAGTTGTTATGCCATTTTAGCAAGTTGATCTCATCTGCTGTTGAAGGTGAGCCAGAAGTTAATTGAAGGAATAGAACCAAAATAACCAGAATAGTTGTATCCATCTTGAGCATGTCTTAATAGAACAGATAAAATTATTTATATTTAAGAGTATCAATATCTCTTCAATATTTTTATTTACATATTTTTTAGTGTGTGACCACATGTAATTCTTATAACAAGCTCAACGAATACAATTTGACCGGCAGAGAAGATGAATATTTGTGATTTACTCAAAACACTATGAATTAAAATCCTCAAAGTATTCTCAGTGACCAACTATCCAATTTGCTTTCCTTTGATATAAATTAAATGGAGGAAGAAACTGGAGTTCAAGATCCGTCATTGGGTTTATTTTTAGTAGTTCGATATAGCTTTTTATACTATGTACAACAAATAAGTATGCGTAGTCTTACGGAGGATGAATAAACAAAAAATTACTATGCAGTCACATGTTGTCAGCCTATATGAATGTGCGATCTACTGTTTAGATCAAATTGATATGTCCATAGAATATCGCTAACTGATTTGGTCGATATTCTATTGCCTATGACAACCAGAAGGACATACTATCTTGATACTCTGTTTCAACTTAATGTTTAATAGAGCTATATTGAGCAGCTATTTATGAGGTGACTACATAAATTATTCAGTAAGGCCTAACTGGATATATGCCTCCGTGAACATCAGAAAATGCGAATCGGAAATAACTTCAGAAAATACTCAGTGGTCTTCAAAGCTACTTATCGGATTAAGCAGAATTACAACTGAGTAGCGAAGTAGCTAGATAGTTTGCAGCGGATGGGAGTTTCCGAAATAGAATGATATCACTTCATACTGCAAATAAAAGTCTTTGTTTCTGGACCGCAATTTGTCAAGGGAGCCAGTTGTTTGAAAAGCAAAACTGTTTTGAGTAGCTAGTGTGAATCTCCCCCTCAAAGAGTTAATTCGCTATTAAGAAACTTCTTTAAATACAAAAGCTTTCAATACAGAAGTGAAACTAGTGAGTAGGAAATTTTGATTTCCACTCTGGTTCATCTTATTGATTCACATAAATATGAACTGTGCTTATACTGCGAAATAACCATTCCGAAGCACATAGTGGGTTGAAAATAAATTCCTGCAATGTTAAACAAGCCATGGTTAAACGCCTATCTTCATTCCTCATAAAAATATTTTAAGAAAACTTAGTTTCTCACAGCCTTCATTAATGTGGCCACTGTTAGTACTGATGAGTGTCATTGAAACGACTCCCTCCTACCTCTCTCCCTTGTGAATTACATGGCAGTATTATGCAAGTCAATGTGGACGAATTTACAGTCTCAGCTTTGCTGTATTACTCGTGTCTCTTCCTAAACATCGACCGCACAGTACTCAATACTAGTCTGAGTTAAGCCAAATAATGTGGTAAAGTATTTCAATAAAAAGGCACAAACAGCGAAGAAAATTTTCTTTTCGACGATTCATTTTCAATAAACAAAGACCAAAATCGCAGCATAAAATGAGATCATACTATTATTCCACAGATTCCCACCGAATACAAACTTATTGAAATTACAACGGTTATATAAAAATGATAATAACATACCTCTATACTTGAATAGTTAACGTATCCAGAAGGCAAGCACTGTGACTACTTTTAGTTTAAGTCAGCATCAGTTTATATATACTTTCAAGTAGAAAACGAGAAATGCGGGGTGGGTGAGACAATGGACAGATAAGAATATAATAAACTGTGTTTGCTTATAAGTTCACACAGCAACTCAAGAATGTTAAGGCTCACTAGACTAAACTATCTTACGAGGTATAACCTTGAGTCGGTATGTGAACGTATAAACAAACACTGTTTATTAGATTTTTTCTGTCCTTTGCCTCGCCGCCCCCACTCCTTCGTTTTGTCGTTTTCTACTTGAAACCGCGTAAGTTAATGCTGACTCAATGCGTATAATGCTTACATTTCAGATGCGTTGATTTCATTTTACCTTCTCTATTGTCATTCACGCATGGACGAAGTATGTTATTGCTATTTTTATAGAACATTTGTAACTTCAGGTAGTCTGTTCATCTAGTGAGAACGTGTGAAATGCACTGATTTCATTTTATACTACAAATATAGTCTTTCTTTCTTTGTGAGAATTAATTAACGGAAGCAAGTGCATAATAAATGATTTCAATAGAAGTTAATACTCACATCATGGATAATCCATGAGAATGACATGGGAATGCGTTTTCATAAATTATATCTCGGAAAACAGCACAATCATTATTTGAACGCCAAGACAATGAATTCCACATCATTTTCTTTAAACATGTTAGAAAATAAACATCACAAAAGGCTCTAACCTTCCAATGTATTGCTTTTCCATCATTATTAATCTGAACATGTAATGTATATCTGTTAACCATCATCTATTACCCACTTGCATGTAGCCTATTCAAACTGATTATTATACTTTAGTTGGAAATGTCATCATAAAACACAGTTTGAATCACTTCAGGATACTTGATTGAGTCATTCTTGAAAAAGCAAATAAACCTATAAGATATTCCCTTCTAGCAAATATTATACTAATAATTTACCTCAAAATCATGTTTTGTTCTAGACACTTGTTACACATGTCAAGACTATCTCTTCATTACTCTGATGGTCTCTGTGACTTCAAGACATTTCAAATGACTGAATCTCACTTGTACACGAGAGTGGATCAACTTCTCAGTCTGATTTTGTTAATGGCAACAAAATAATAAGGTTGAATTGAATACTCTTGTACGTCAGCTCACTCCATGTCAGCCTCGCAGCCACCTCTGATTCGTCATCTTCCATTCTGGTTCCACAGGAACAATAGACTCGAGTGCGATGTCTCCTAGAGGTCTTATTAGTGTACACCTGATACATGTCCATTTAATTGATTGGACAACAGGTAGGAACTCGTATCATGCACTAAGTCCTTTGTTTAGTACAGACTAAACTCTTTCAGTCAAGCTTTGCTATCTGACCCCTGTACTAGATGGCTTCCCATCACGGTTCACTGTGAAGTGTTGTTAGTTGGTTGGAATTGCCGAGGCTTACTGATGATCGCCCCCAACCATACATTAACGACAGTTCACAGTACGCTCTGAGGGCGAGCCATCTAGCATGGTGGACACATCGCAAAACCTAACTGGCAGAATTCTGTTTGCACAAAACAAAGCACTAGTATCCAGAACAGTCCTGCATGATGTCAATCACTTAATAGTAGTAAGGTATCTGTTTTTCTTCAGTTGAATCATGTTCTTTCTTTAGTGAGTAATAATTTATAGAAACAAACTGGGATAAGACAACGGTTTGCTTTTCTCCACATATTTTTTACAGTATGTGGATGAATTCCTGCTTTTCATTCGTCCATTCACCACACTATGTAGTAAAATTGACATATGAATTCTTACCTCTCATTTCTGTTGAATTCTTTGAGACAACATTATAATGTACTTACTTATTGATGGATGGCTTATGGTAACCAGCAGAAAGCCATGAAACAGCACTACCGTCTGCCGTAAAATGAACTGACATCAACTCTGCTATTTATCAGTGTGTTGCTGTCAGAAACACTGTCAACGAATTATTTGAGCTGGCGATTTGTTAAGTGCTTATATCAACTGTTCACGTATGAAGTTACAGCGTTTGTGAAACGTTTCTTGCTAAGAAAATCCATGGAAGCTGAAGAAATGATACAAGTTACATGAAAAATATATACTTATTTCCTCAGATATTTTTATAACTCCAACTCTCCTACGTAGTGCAAGAAAACATCACAGTAATTATTCTTGTAATTTTGAGAATTATAACAACATTGCTTTAAATCCTAAGTGCTTACATCTCAACGGCTTGAAAAATCGGCGAGAAGTTTGAGCATATTGTCTGAAGCTGTCTATGTATTCCAATTAACTTTTCAGCCTTCTTTCAAATGACACTCAACCCATTAATTATTATTATTATTATTATGGTTATTTTCATTATTGTTGAAACCATGAACTACAGAGCCTCACAGAATTATTTTCTAACGTCGAGTGGAATTCAGAAAATTACAACTAAGTCGAAGCCCTTCTATGTTAAAGAATGTATCTCAAAAGGGCAATATAAAATGAATGCAATAGAGAGTAACATATCTAACAAACAGTGTACCCCTATCATTTCTCGTCATTCTCGTCACGCACTGTGAACTCAAGCAGCAACATAAGCTTTCATGAAAATGACACTACTGGTGTCCATGGAGACTGTACAACATGATAAGTAATAATGAAATTAGTCGGATTCTTGCGTCACCATTAGAAGCTATTTCGATTCTATGGGCCGCGACTTCTTTATTATTCTAACACATACTATTTTACTAAGAGACCAATACTGTCTGAAATAACATCACACTGAAGAATAGTTAAAAATATGAGACTGATATATTTCGACAAACAGAGAAGTCAGCTAATGTTGGTGAAAGCCATGTAAGGGGTAGCAAATTTCGTGTTTTGGTGTCATCGAGATGCCTAAAATTCAACTCATGGCGAAGCACCTGAAAATCGTCCACATTGTTATAGATGTATTCACCCATGTCAGTACCCTTATTCGCAAATCCTGTACTAATCTTTTTGTAGAATATGTGTACAACACACACCTGACATAGTCGTCATTTCGGCTTATCTCATTGAACATCATTAGGAATATTTTGCATTGATTCCACTCACTTCATGTAAACCAATTTCTGTGGTTCCACGGAATTCAGAATTTATGAGCCGTTGACGCAAAATTCATCAAAGTGATTGGCGCAAATCAGGGTTTAGTGTCTTTCTCCAGGAAAATTCTTCTGCTATTTATGCCCAAACTTTATTTGCATCTTTGAGAGACATGATTAACTGCATCCGATTCACTGTGACAATGGTGAAACACTTTTACTTCCATCTTTACCTCTCCTACTTCAGTTTCATCACAACTATTGTAAGTACTCCCTGAAGTAACTCCTGCATAAGGTTGGTCGTGTATTGTAATTCTAAGAGCAAACTGGGTCCTTTAGATTTGGTTAACAAATCGTTCTCA